GAAGAGCTGTCATAGGAAGACTGATATGTTTATCTTAATATTTTCGTAATATGTTAAAGGAAATGGGTGGATTTTGAAAATGTACAGGATCATATAAAACTGTGTTCTGTTATACTACAATTATTACAGCCAATTGCACAGAAATATAATTGATGCACAGCAATAAAAATATAACATTAACTTGGACAATTTTTAGCCTTTCTGTCCATCATCCGATCTTGATTGGACAATTTTTAGCCTTTCTGTCCATCATCCAATGATCTTGATTGTTAAGACACACACACACACACACACACACACACACACACACAATTTTTTTTAATTTTAAAGGCATACATTGAAATGGTAGTCCTTAACCTGAGATTTTTTTAATGAATTTTGATTTTCTTGGGGAAATATCACAAATCTAAATCATGTCACATTTTATTTGTACCTGTTGGAAAATTAAGTTGTATAACCATCTCAGGCTTACCTGGTTGCCTATAAGTACATGTAATTTAAAAACAAACAAGTATATAATCTCTGAATGACCAGTAGCTTTATTTTATAGAAGTGATAGCTAAAAATCAAGATAATTCAGAAATGCCATTCTTTTTCCACATCCTGCCTACCCCATATGTACACAGGTAAATATTGATATTTTACATCTGAAGACTTTTATACTGCAAAGGTGTTTTTTTGTTTTTGTTTTTGTTTTTTTCAGTAGCCCCAAAACCTTGGATGGCATACCTCAGAAAGTAAGGGAGCTAGTGCCTAAATCAAGCCATGAGGAGGGTCATAGAAGGGGCAGAGAGATTTATGACCCTTAGCTTTCCACAGAAAAACAGAAAATCACTGAATCTGATTATTATGGGGGTAATCCTACCCATTTGACAGGATTTTAAAGCTCAGTCAATTAAAAAACACCTAGAGTAGTGGGAAAACGAGATAAAGAAGACTAATGACCTAGGGTTTAGTTTAATGACAGAAAAGAATAGATGCATTATAAATTTTCCATTGATAACAGTGGTACCCAATTATTAATGTCATCAAAGCACATTATCAGAGAAACTAGATTTTTCTAATTAGGGGAATTTATTCATGGAGTTGGAACTTGAGATGAAATTGGAAAGATTCTCCCAGGTAGAAGGAGACAAGGAATTGCAGATGAGTAAAGTTGTCCAAAAAACAAACAACAACAAAAAGGAATAGAAGGTAAATTTGAGTTATTAGTGCTGGTTAGTGTGAGCAGAAAGTATCATTATGAAAAAAGGCTATAAAGTTCTCACTTGAACCTAAGGCAAGAGTGACAATTTTTATAAGACAGAATGACCAGAATTTAGGAATTAGGGGCTGGAGAACCTGTTAGGAAGAACCAGTTAGGAAGAAACTGTTTAGGATACAGGTTAAGAAACAATGGAATCATCCAGGTATAAGAGGATAAGGAGAGAATGTGAGAGGGGAGAAACTGTCAGTTACTGAAACTTATTTAAACATCTACCTGATTTAGTGACTGAGTGACATGAGTAATCAAGGCCTCCACACAGTGACGTGAATTCCATCTGCCTCCTCCAGTTAAAAGGAGTCAGGCAATTACTAAGTAGAAGGGAGAAAGAAGTGACTTCAGCCTGGCCCCCGAAGTTACTTTTGGCTTACACCTGTGCCATATGCATAAGTACCCTCCTGCAGCTAAGAAAATATGAACATGCCCTTCACACCTTCCATGCTAAGACGTCCTTTTTTCTTTCTTTCTTTGTTTCTTTTTTTCTTTTTTGGTATATTTTGGAGACAACTACTCACACAGGCTCCTGCTTGATATTTGCCATCTTTAAGTGTAGATCTGTTGAGTTTTTCTAAACCTGGGTTTTTGCCACTGTGATTGACAGACCACCTTTGTTCAGCAAAAGAACATCAGAAATGCAAGGATGAGTGTTTGAGGAGACCCTCCTAGGGATGTGGTTTACTGATGAAATACAGGGACTAGGAATGAGCTTCCTGATCCCTCATCATCCTGCTGCAGAATATCAAGACCATCCCAAGATGTTCATTTTAACCTGCTTTAACTGCAACAAAAGTTTTGGGAGATGGAGGAAGAGTTAAACAAGTTCTGATTTCCTTGTAAATTAGAAACTGTCCCAAGGAATGGAATATGAATATTAATTTACATAAACCATTGTAAAACTAGAAGAGCATTGATTGAATCATGTTTAATCCCTTCTGGGGCATTCCAAAGTGATTGTGAATTGGATAGCTCATAAAGGGCCTAAAATAGAAATACATGAATGTTATTTTTTTCTGGATGAGCCTAAAAAGGAAATAGAGAACTCTACTCCTTTTCCAGTTGACATAATAGATGGCGAGCAGTGCTCAGAAAATGACACTAGGAATAAAGAAACTTGTGTTTGAGACCCAGGTCCATCATTTATTGACAAGGTGATTCTGGCCATTTCATCTTTCTAAGCCATAATTTTCTTAACTTTAAAACAAGTAGCTCAGGGAATTCCCTGGCAGTGCAGTGGTTAGGACTTTCACTGCCATGGACTGGGTTCAATCCTTGGTTGGGGAACTAAGATCCCACAAGCCACGTGGTGCAGTCTAATAATAATCAAGCAGCTTAGCTATACCTACTGCAAATGCTTTATAGTGAGGCAGGCATAGAAGTGGTTTGTAAAATGTAATGAACTACAGAGATACTATATAGTAACCACTCTTGCTGAATGTCACATTCCCACATAACACTTATTCCTCACCACTCATAATCAAAAGCTAAACTGTCTCATTCTGGGTATTAAAGACCTCACAGGTCTCTTCCCCCTTCCTTATCTTTCCCCCTTGATGCAATCTCTTATTTTCAAAAAGATTCTTCTGAGTAACCATTTCACATCTTCCCATTTATCCAAATTGCCTTCTCAACCAAACCAGTCTTCTAAGAGGAGGGTTTTTTGGCCCTTTCTAGAAAGAAGAAAGTATGGAATACAGTTGTGATGGGGAAAAGATGAACTCCTGCTTAGAAAAGCTAGAAAGGTAATCACAGCCTACCTCCTTTTTTTTCTTTTAAAGAAAGTTTAAATAGTAAAATTTAATAAACTATTAACCAGTAAGTTGTGTGTGTGTGTGTGTGTGTGTATGTGTAGCTGGGGGCGGGGGGCGGGGGCCGCTGGGTATGTTGTAAACAAAGAAATAAGATGAAGTCTTTCAACCATGAGGTGTTTGCCACTGAAGATCTGCTCTGGGACTCATGACTTGTTTTGTATAGTGGACTCTATGGATAGTCTGGAGAAACCTGTAAACAAATATCTTCTCAATACAATGTTTTAAAATACTTAAAGCATACAGGATAAGAAAATTAGCCACATTAAAATACAGCTGTCAAAATGTATTTCTTTTATGTAAAATGTGTTTCATTAGTCACATCAAATAACAAGGAACAACAGGTGGAATAACAAACGTCAGTTTCAAGGAATCAGAATGATGTAAATTTTATTTCAGGATATCTGCAATATCTTCAAAGTGATCCAAAAACATCTGTGATGGCCACTGTTGAAAAAGTCAGAGGCACTGCAAAATCCACTGTGATTAGCTGCCTACAGATACACTTGAAGGAAATGCTTAGCTGCATTTAGAGTTTGGTAAAATAAAGATGTAATTTTTCCCCATCCATGTTTACAACCCCCTAATGGTCTGCAGAACTCAGATTTTGGTCAAGATTTGCCAATAAAACCGAGTGGTCTTCCTCAGAAAATAACAAAAACAGGGATGAAGGGGAAATGATGTAATATCAGGTCAACCCATCTTCCTAGAGCCATTTATTTTGCCCTGGTTACTCCAGCTCAAGGTGCTCTCTAAGCAATCTTGTTCCCTTTATCAACGGTTTTTACTTGTTTCTGCCTCCCTGTTTGTTGCCTATTCACCAAAAGATATTAGACCACCAACCCAGCTCCCTGGGTCTTGTCAACATCTGAGGGGGAAAAAAATCTGTCAAAGAAAATGGTAAATTATAAACCGCCAGGGGTAGCTTACTTTTTTCTATCCCTTGGTGTCAGGGTGGTAGCAACAATTATGCAGATTTAGGCAGAATAACAATAACATGAATACTCCCCCCAAATAGGACTACATTCATCAAGCGGAAAAATCCAAGCTTTTCAACTGCTTCCAAGTATGTATCAATACAAGTCTTACTATCTCAGCCTCTAATTGGTGCAGTATTTTCTCCTGGAGCCCATGCAAGTAACTCCAGAAGTGCGTTCTGATTGGTTAACTCTCTCAATAGCCTCTGCAAACCAATGGGAATGGAAATTTTAGAAACATCCAGAGACTATAATAACCCCTTCCTCAAGCTGCACTATTTCTTTCCTAACATGTCTGGACGAGGAAAAGAGGGCGGCAAAGCGCGAGCAAAGGCCAAGACCCGCTCCTCGCGGGGCGGGCTCCAGTTCCCCTTGGGCCGAGTCCACGGCCTGCTTCGCAAGGGTAACTGCCGAGCGGGTCGGGGCCGGCGCGCCGGTGTACCTGGCGGCGGTGCTGGAGCACCTGACGGCCGAGATCCTGGAGCTAGCGGGCAATGCGGCCCGCGACAAGACGCATACCATCCCGCGTCATCTGCAGCTGGCCATCCGTAACGACGAGGAGCTCAACAAACTGCTGGGCAAAGTCACCATAGCTCAGGGATGGTCCTGCCCGACATCCAGACCATGCTGTTGCCCAAGAAGACCGAGAGCCACCACAGGGCCAAGGGCAAGTGAATCTGCCGCAAAGGCTCTTTTGAGAGCCACTAAACTCGTTACAGGCCTGATCACAACATTCGGAGAGCTCTGAACGTGGCGGTGCGCGCGCACCCTGACGCATAGCCAATCACGTTAGGGCGGCAAGTTTAAAAAAAATTTAAAAAAGAATTTTACCTTATTACAAGGCTTGTTGGTTACCTACGGAAACATATCCAGCTAAGCTCTTTTATCTGAAATTTGTGGGTGGCTCTGAAAAGAGCCTTTGAGATTTTCAAAGTAGGACGTCCCGCTACCGATTTACTTCTTCTTGGAGACCGCCTTCTTAGCCTTTGTAGCCTTGGGTTTGGTAGCTTTAGGCTTGGCTGCCTTGGCTTTGGGGGCTTTGGCCTTGGCCGGACTCTTAGCCGCCTTCTTCGGCTTGGCTGCCTTCGCCTTTTTCGGGCTCTTGGCCACTTTCTTGGCCCCAGCAGCCACCCCCGGCTTCTTGGCTTTCTTAGGGGTCTTCTTAGCGGCCTTCTTGGGGGTGGCCACGCCCGTGGCCTTCTTGGGCTTCTTAGCTGCCCCAGCAGCCTTCTTGGGCTTGGCCGCGCCTGCCTTCTTAGCCTTGGGCTTGGTTTCCCCGGTGGCCGCCTTTTTGTTGAACTTGAAGGAACCTGAGGCGCCAGTGCCCTTGGTCTGCACCAGGGTGCCCTTGCTCACCAAGTTCTTAAGCCCCAGCTTGATGCGGCTGTTGTTTTTCTCTACGTCATAACCAGCGACCGCCAGCGCTTTCTTCAGCGCGGCCAAGGACACGCCGCTGCGCTCCTTGGAGGCGGCGACAGCCTTGGTGATGAGCTCGGACACCGGGGGCCCGGACGCCTTGCGTTTTCCAGCAGCTGCGCCCGTTTTCTTCGTCTTCTTCTTAACAGGTGTTTTCTCTGTAGGTGCGGGAACAGCAGGAACAACAGGAGCAGTCTCCGACATTTCTGTTTAGCCAGGAAAGACAAAAAGTAAGCTTAAACTGTCAGAACGGCGTGTCCCGGGAACCGCCGGCTGGGGGTTTATATAGAGAGTCGCTGCGTGATGATTGGTTGCCTTTTCCGTGCGCCGCGCTGCTACGAAGGTCTCCTCGGCTCTGCCGAATGGCTGTGTTTTTTGCCCCTTAAAAAAGAAGAAAAATATAAGAAGTCTGGGCACGAAATAATTAGGGATTTGGGGGAAACTGATCCGAGACTCTTCAGGCTTCATTCCTGCCTTATTTGCTATACCTAGTTTCAAAGCCGGCCCCGTGAAACTTTCCTGATTCCCCCAACTCTCTTGGAAACTTCGGTCAAATTGAGACAACTTTCAGATTTTCCTTAAAATTAGTAGTTCTCTCTGCTTCCTTTGCAAATCTTTCTTCCAGGGCATTGTCATACACATTGTTTTCTTTTCAACCTTATATAAATAACCTCATCTTTACTCAAATATACAAGGAAAATCAGTTTTTTCGCGGGAGCAATAGCACAGCTCTGCTGCAACTTGTTTGCTCTAAGCACTGGGAATTGGCACTGGTGTAGAAAATTCTACGTACAAGATGGATAACTATTTTTAAAAGGATAGATTTTTTAAAAAAGTATTTGAGTGACCAGTGTGTAAACTGGGTTTGCTCCCAGTGTTTCGGTGATTTAAACATTTTTGGAAGGATGGGGTGTGAGGCTGCTCCATTTATTTTCTAGATAAACAGCTCCAAATAGAGTCACAAACCTGCTCTAAAAATTAGTATAATAGATTTTTCTGACCTAGAATGGGCATTAGAGATCAATCACACCATCTACAAAGAAGAAAAGTGAATCATGAAGCAATAGATTGGCAGTTCTACATCATTTTACCAGCTCTGAGCTCAAGAACTCTGTAAGATCACGTGAGTTAAAATTGTATATTGCCTAATGATATTCCGTCCATAAGATTTTCTTCCTCCATTATTTAGCACAGAATTATGTACATATTTCCTATATTTCAAAATGATACTTAAGATACAACTTTGATTTATCTTTTTTCAACATTGCAAATAGGGACACAGAGGACTAGAAAGTAAAAAGAATTCTCATTAAACTCACTTACTGAATCTTCATAAGTTTCCCTGGGATTTTTACTAACAAAATATGAACCAGGCTATCATGACCTAAATTAATTGGCTGAATGTGTCCACTAAGGAGTTGAATAAATATTTCATAGCAAACATGACTGATTTACTACTCCATCTCTTTGTAACACAGAGAGCTAATGGAATTCGATAAATATTGGATAATTAAGCACAAAATTAATATCCACCAAATAATCAGATACTGAAATTAAACCTCATGTTTGTCAAAATAAACAAGAAAAGTATTTTGGTGTTGTGTTTTTTTTTTTAAATAAATACCCCTACTTCCAAAAATCTATTTATTCTGGCCTACATTCAATAGTGACTTGAGAAATTTTTCATACAACTCCAAGACAGGATAATCAACTTAAAAGATGTCATCTCTTTGCACTGAACTAATTCCATAAAAATGACTTGGCTTGTTTTTAAATAGTCATTATTGGCTGACACTGTCTGTAACTAAGTCTCTGGGACTTGAGACCATGTTATATACCAATTACAAATACAGTGTATAAAGAGGGAAGCTTATAGGATTGGATCTAGAACATTCCAATTTTCCCAGGGAAAGCATTTTACATTTGTCTGGAGGATGGGGCTACTTGTCTTCCTCAGTATCATCACTGTCAATAGCAATAGTAACAAACATTATATACGCCCTTTTCCTTTTCAGCCCAGAGCCTAGGTGAAAAGTTCTTTCTACAGCAGATGCCACCATTTCTTTCTTGTGCAACTGTTACCGGTTCCCATGGCTATTTAGGTTCCAAATAAGTGAGAAGACATTGGGGCTCAGGGTCATCTGCTTAATTGTTTATAGGTAATCTCTGCCATTCCTGGAGGGCAATAATTGAGACTTGATTTCACCTGAAAAGTTCTTCCCTAGATGTGTATAGGAGGATGGAGCTGTACTGTGTGTAGGTACTGTTATCTCTTGAGATCCAGGTATTTACACTCTAACTGTAGCATGGACAAGGTTCTTGAAAGCTGGATCACCCCATGGGACTATAAAGTTGAAAAGTTTCACCTATTACTTGGTAGCCCACAAAAAAGTTGTCTGTATTACGTTTGAATCCTAAATCTGTATATATTCTAAAACCATTGACTTTCTGCTAGACTAAGACTTGAACTATTTTTACTTTATAGATGTAAAAAATAAATAAGAAAAACTAAAGTTAAACAAGTGATGGATGTCTCACAACTTCATTTTCTCTCAATTTTTGTGTCAAGCCCCTACTCACCATAGTAAATGACTGTGAAAGAGATAGGTAGGCTCACCAGGGCAATCCACAGGGGCTGTACTTAAGTGTTCCAAAATTCAGTAAATTTCAAACATTTAAGGAGAAGAGTGACTATGCTGACTAAATATCAAAAAGGCCAAATTAAAAATAAGGGCTATAGAGCAAACAGAGCATTGTTTTACAATGTAATGTGTTCAGAAGGGTAATGAGAAATCACATCTATTTTAATTTCCTATCAGATGGTCTCACCTGAGGAAACTCTACCACTTGAAACTCCCTTTCAAGCACAACTATATATCAATATTATTCATTTTATTTCCTAAAAAGGACACTACTACTCTCAAACTTCCACTTTCCTTTTTACATGTCCCTCTGTGTATCTGTAATATCTGCTACATGCAGAAGGTGACTAATTTCTATTACACTTCAAAAATACTCCAATCCCCATTTCCTGTAGCAAGCCTCACTCTCAGGTACCTACCACACTCTCTTTCCCAGTCTGGGCTAGAAGTTCTCCAGAAGTTCTCTATCACAATACAGCCCAATGCAACCTATTGCAATGATGGAAATGTTCCGTATCTGCACTGTAGAACAGACAACAACTACACTTGCCTGTGGTTGAGCACTTACTTAAAGGTAGAATGACTGAAGAAATTAATTTTTAATTTAATTTAAATTAATTTAAATGGGCATATGTGGCTAGTGGCTAATACAATATAGGAAAGCACAGCTCTAAAACAATTCTTCTCAAACGTGAATAAGCAAAGCACTCACTTGAGGATCTTAAAAATGTCGTATTAGTTCAGTAGATTTGGGGCTGGTCCTGAAATTCTGTATGTCTAACAAGCTCCCAGGTGACGCTAATGTTGCTGGGATATGGCTGCTCCACCCATCACTACCAGGATGAATCTAGGAGGATGGTGGGCTGATTACATGGCCCCTCACCCCGAGTTTACTTTTCTCTTCCTTCAGCTAGAGTTTGAGTTCTTTAATAGAATGTGTGATTGTCTTTGTAAACCTGGTATTTGTACACCATTCTTGGAGTATAGTAGACCTTAAATTGTTGAATGAATGAATGCAATGAATCAATGATTCTTGTTCAGTGACTTTCTCAAAAAGGAGAGCAGGGGAGATCACAATGTCTAAATCCACAGGTAACTGCACCTGAACTAAATCTCAAAAAGTTTGTGACTCAAGCAAGTTAATAGTCCTCTGACCGCTTATATGGTAAGCACCAGCAGAGAAGGCTTTTTTTTTTTTTTAAATCACCTCTGTGGTTACATAGAAGGCACTCAATGCGAATTTGTGGACTGTGAGTAATGTTGGCATTTGTCTACTAACCAATACTTATCTGTGTGTAGAATTTCAGTTACCCTTTTTAGTTGGACAGTATTTCACTGTTATTTTTTTTAAATTCTGTTAATTTGCAAACTTATTCATCCTGATGTATCTTCAATGCTTTAATGACATAGCTCGGTGGTAGGTGGCAAGGACATAAGACCACAGAATCAGAAGGCCTCAGTTCTACCCCCAATACCATTTATTAGAACAGGATTAGGTCTTCAATCCTGGGATTCTTCATCCTCACAAAGTAAATAGTGCTTTATAAATTGGGGAGAAAAGAGCGGAAATTCAATTAATGTTGGCTTCCCCTTACTAGACCTCCCTCTTTACCAGGAATGCTGAAAAACGATGGTTATGTAAACGCTTCGCCAAACGGAAATATTCAGGATCAGCCAAACTTAATATGTATTACTAGAGTTTTTAAGAATACTTACATTTTTTAAAGTATCTTCATGTTTTCAAATTAATTTTATTCTGATTTCTCTCCCTTTTGTAGACAAATGTGGCGGTACTGCCTCCTTTTGTTAAATAATAAAAGTGGTGAGGAGACTTGTACAATATTAATTGAGAAAAGTCACAGGAACACGACTAGAATCCACAAAACCAGCGACTCTGAACCCCAACCAGGAAACAGGAAACACATACTGAGTCGCATTTCCCCACCCCTTTCCCTGCTAGGCAATAGCAGACGGCCAGTGAGGAAGGGAAGAGGCGGGGGCAGAGGTCTCGTTCCCGCCCCCGCCGTTTCAGTTTCCTAATAGGTCCGTAAAACTGATATATAAGAGGCTGCAGCCCCCTGTTAAGTGCTGTAAGAGGTTAGGAGTCGCTTTTAGTTATGTCTGGTCGGGGCAAGGGTGGAAAGGGTCTGGGAAAGGGGGGCGCCAAGCGTCATCGTAAGGTTCTCCGTGACAACATCCAGGGCATCACCAAACCCGCTATCCGCCGCCTCGCCCGGCGTGGTGGGGTGAAGCGTATTTCTGGTCTTATCTATGAGGAGACCCGTGGGGTGCTGAAGGTGTTCTTGGAGAATGTAATCCGCGATGCTGTCACCTACACCGAGCACGCCAAGCGCAAGACTGTCACCGCCATGGACGTGGTTTACGCGCTCAAACGCCAGGGACGCACTCTGTACGGTTTCGGCGGCTAAGTTTCATTGCGGTCTTCGGCTGTGAAGCTCTTGTTTACTCACAAAAGGCCCTTCTCAGGGCCACCCACTTGGTCACATGAAGGGCTGCTAACTAGCACAAAGGAGAAACAAAGGTAATATTTGATGCTTTATATTGGGTGCCTATTTTAATTAAAGCAGTTGCTTTCTCTTTGTAGATCCCGGCTGTCGCGTTTTTTTGGTCTTTTTTCCGAGTTAGATATCATCTCAAGATGGCGGCTCTCAGACATGCCGAAAACAAAATCGTGCAGTGGAACTGCTGGAGTTTTTACTCAACAGAAGTGAATTGCATTTGATGTGGCATCAGTTTTCGAATTTCAACATGTTTGAGTTCATTTTTCCCCAAAAAACATTAAAATTAACTTGTCCAGAATGTCCCAATGACCCAGCACCTAGTGTCCTGAAGAGGGCACCTGGGGCCTTTAAGCAGACTTCTTCCTACAGAAAACGTTGCAGATAGCTCTGGATAGATGGAGCCATAGGTAGTGAACTCAAATCGGGTGGAAGAGACATTATAAAATTTTGTCTTATCTAGTGTACTCCTGAGGACGCGTTGGAACTCTTAACATGACTAAGAGGTCATCCAAAACGTTGATAATGTGACCTTTCATGTGGCCATCCCACCTCTGACTGCACCCTTACCTCTCCATTTTCCCACCAGGCGGAAGAGATGCTCTTCAGGCCTTCTCATGCTCATCCTGCCACCTGTGTTCTAAATCTTTCACTCCCAGAAGCTTTGTGTTTGTGTCAGTGAAAACACACCCTGGTGTGTGGGTGAACACACACCCAGGGACAGTTTCATTCTGTCCCTGTTATCTTAAGATAGTTATTAATGGAGCCCACTTCCACTATCAATAACTTATTTGCACAATAGATTAGTTGGTCATCCTGATCTAATCATAGTGATATCCCAGCTTAAAGTTTTATTCCTCTTTCTACTGGCTCTTTCCCACCCACGTATAAATATGTTTCAGTGTCTCTCAATTTAATCCATACCTCTATCAATTACTAGATCCTTTCCATTTATCAAATCTCCAAGCCTTGGGTAATCTGGAGTCACTATTCTCATGTCTTTTCATGATTATATGACTTCTTCACAAATCACTCACTAAATATATCCTTGGCGTAGTTACCAGGGACCTTCGAATGGCCCAAACCACGCACATCTGACCCTGTTTATTACTCCTGCCTGCACAATCTTCTCACAGTCTTTTGTGGTACCTTTCTTCCTAACCCAGATCCTATTGTTCTCCATGATCCTTCTCGGTTTGCTTCTTTGGGTCCTATTCCTCTGTTCTGTGGTTCCACTCAATTAACAAACTCTTGTTCTCCATTATCAGTTCATAGATCCTCCTTGAGCTGTCTCTTCCAGAGTGTGCCATAAATGGTGAGACATCTTGGCACCCCGAAAATTGAATATCAGCTGAAATGGAGCAGAATATGCCACCCCAAAATATGCCACTTTGGCATAAGGATTATTTTGAGCTAGGGCGCTTGAAAAACAGCTAATGAAAGAATGGGGCTGTGATCTCCCCTTTTCTTCCCAAAAGCAGATAATTATCCCATGTGAAAGGTGCCATCCCTATACTAGGAGGAAATGAACATTCTTATCACCAGAAATGGGGAGTCCAGGATGAGAGAATCTATACAAACAGACCTTATTAAAATAATCCTTATCTTCCTTTAGTCTCCCCATATATTTTAGTTGCTATTTCACAATTACTACTCTTTGTTCAACCTACTATATAAGCACTTAGGCTTAACTGCTTTTTGGGTCTTCATTTTCCTGTGAAGACTCCCATGTACATATAAAAAGATTAAATAAAATTTGTGTGCTTTTCTCATGTTAATCTGTCTTATGTCAACTTAATTCTCAAGCCCAGCTAGAGACCCTAAAAGGGTAGAGGAAAGTTGTTTCTCCTATACAGCTTTCTAATCCCTATAGTGGCCTGACAGGTCTCTCTGCCTGCATTATTCCCAATCTACAATCCCTCCCTCCCACTGCAGAAATCTGAGTGAGTTGCAAATTTCATCATGCCGTGTAGGAAAAAAGAGAGAGAGAGAGAGAGAGAGAGAGAGAGAGAGAGAGAAAGAAAGAGAGATTCTGAGGCTGGACAGCCTAACATTTATTCCAGGCCTGATAGTGCCACCAAGAGGGGCAGACAGCTATTGAGGATCTCCCTGCAATAAAATGCTGCACTCACACCCTCTCTCTCCAGCCGCTTCTCCTCCCCGCTCTCCCTCTCCACCTCGCTGCCGCCTCCTCCCCCTTCCCCTTCCTCTCCTCCTCCCCCTTCCCCTTCTTCTTCTTCTCCTTCTTCTTCACTTTGTGTCAGAGTTTGTGAAGAGTCTGGGATCTTACCCTACTTACAAGGTAATAAGATAACCTGAAAGTCTTTCATGGCTGCTGGCAGTAGACACAACACTCCTAGGTCAGAGACAAGAGGCTTTATTACAGCACAGCACAGCAAGCAACAATTTTGCATTGGATCCCCTTGTCCACCAGGTCCCACAGGGGCGACCTGGAGGGGCCCAGATGGATACTGCACACACAGTGGGTTTGCATCACAGCCAGGGTACAGCTTGGGGGATTGAACTGAGTGTACTAAGCAAATCCGCTCTTTGTCTGGGGACAGCCACTATCCCATTCTTTAAGGTTCCTCAACCCTGATAAATGGCATTCTTGGCACACCCAGTAAGAACCCTCAGGGCCCGTGGCAGATTGCCTCTGCCAACGCTGGGTTCAAAGGCTACACAATAAAGGGTGTAATTGTGTTTTGCCCCAAGTTAGTGTATCCTCCTTGAATATTCAGTCTATGCATTGATATATGAGTGACACCAGGAAAGAAGAAAGCTTAGTTCTAACTTCCAGTAATTTATATCTTGGTTGAACCAGAAGGTTAAACAAAAACAATTAGAAAAAATAATAAAAGATAGACTATATTCAAGTAGGAAAACTTATGGTCAGAAATTTCATTCTTAGAGCCCTTTGCAGGCAAGGGAACGATGAGGATATGAGGAAGAAGATCATATTGTAACCGAAAGTGGGGTCTGGCTGCTTGCTCCTCAGAAGCCAATAAAGAGGCAAGGTTGGTGGAAAGGAAAGTTTGCTTTATTTTGGATGCCAGCAACTGGGGTGGGGGGAGGGGGAGGGCGAACGCCTGTCCAAAGGCTGACTCCCTCCCCACTGACAATCAGTGGGCAAGAGCTTTTCCAGGCTGAGGGAGGGCGCTACATGCAGAAACAGTACAGTCAGCTCTCACAGTCATCTTGAAATTGGTCATGTGGTGGTCTGACCAGCATCATCTTGATTATTAAGTACAGTTAGTCTTTAATTCCAGGGTCGGTTTGTTCCCATTTCTTTGAGGCCATTTCTCGGATTTGTGGCAGCTTATGTCATGGCTGCAGTCTGGTCATCATGTAGTTAACTTCTTCCACCTGGTGGGGTTTTCAGTACCTACAAGGCAGCTCACAGGACGTGGCTCAGAACATTAACTATAGCCCTTGAAGAGGAACTAAAGGTCCTTGACTATGCTTAAGGACTAAACTATTATTATTTGGTCTTTGACAGTTTTCCTTTGTTTCTGTATTTTCTCACTTATCTGATTAAACTTATTCTTTGGCTAAAGTCTTTCCACAGACAAAAGTCAGGCTGAGGACATGGGGGGCATAGACCATACTGTCCTGCTCCGTTTCAATATGACAGCCGGGCCCAGAAGGAGTAGCAGGTATTTGGTTGAGGAAAGAGCAGGGAAGAGTGAGGGGAGAGGAGGCAGGTGTAAGGGGGATTCAGTTATTGAAGAGTGCTCAGTTCTGCGAAGGACTGAGTATACACGTTGTTACATCTAAGTATACGTTAGAGACTAGAGATAAACGTGTGCTGAACACAGAGAGGATCGGATTAAAGGACCAAGTAGGCACCACACATTCATGAGGCACATAAAATTCTCAGTATCTATGAGGCATCTCATACTTGATATCTTAAGTCAACCACCCACTTGACCTCTGCCCATAGGATGCAGATAAAACCCATTGGTGAGTGACAACTATAGACCAAGCAAATATACCCCTAGATCTGTTTAATAGAGCAACTGTATGTGATTGGCCCAGCTACCTTCCACCTGCTGAGTCCCCTTGTTCAACTTAACTCTGGTCCTCAGAGGCCCATCATCAGGAGGGAAGGCTGATGTGGCAGAGAGCAAAGGAGATTATATGAACATTGTGTAAATAACAGGATTCATCTAGTGAGGACCTTCCACCTGTTTGTCTTATCCTAAGTATGCTGTGCTGTCCATCTATTTCCCCATGCTTTTTGCAACATGTTTTAAATTGATTAAAATTTCTAAGCATTTTAATTTGGTCTGTGAGCCTTTCTGCTCTGTGACCTCTGGGAAAGTTTCCTGGCAGTGTACTTGGAGGTGAAGGGTGGCAGAATATGCCGCCCTAAAATATGCCACTTTGGTTTGAGTTATTTTGAGCTAAAGGCACTTGAAAAACAGCAGGTGCAAAAGAGCACTCTGACCTCCTATTTTCCTTCTAAAAACAGGAAATCAAACTCCCATATGGAAGATTCCCTCCCTGTACCAGAAGAAAATAGCATTCTTATCACCAGATAGGAAGCTTAAAGCAGAGAGAACTCTGCATTGTTAAACTAGCCCTTATCTTCCTAGTTCCTTTTCTACCATTAACTATCCTAGCCCAAACTCCTTTGTCGTCACATTTTCATAATTTAATTTAGTATATAAGCCATGTAAGAGCTGTACTCTAGTGTCTGTGGACACCCCAAATATTTCTACTCAAAGAAGGCGTGACCCTTTACTTACCAGCTGCGTGGCCACATTTAGCCACTAGCCACCTGTTGGTCCTCAGAGTTAATCTATACATCAGGAACAGCGATAGTAACACCTCCAGCATTGTGAAAACACCTTAGGGACTGAAGACCGAACACATATGTCTAAGCAACATTTTAGTGCTTCTCTTCTCCCATCTGTACCAAACTACCCTACAGACCACCAAATGTTAAGTGTGAGCTCTTTCATAGAAAAGGTAGGTGGCCCTGAAAAGGGCCTTTACCCTTGCTATATAAAAGAGAAAAGCCTTACAAAGATCAATCTTTAACCGCCGAAGCCATAGAGAGTGCGTCCCTGGCGCTTGAGCGCATAGACTACGTCCATGGCGGTAACAGTCTTGCGCTTAGCGTGCTCGGTGTACGTGACAGCGTCCCGTATAACGTTTTCCAGGAACACCTTCAGCACCCCGCGTGTCTCCTCGTAGATAAGGCCGGAAATGCGCTTCACACCGCCACGCCGGGCCAGACGGCGAATGGCGGGCTTAGTGATGCCCTGGATATTATCACGCAAAACCTTGCGATGACGCTTAGCGCCCCCCTTTCCCAGGCCTTTCCCGCCCTTGCCCCGTCCAGACATAATAGCAAAAAAGCTAAACACGGCGACTGAACCTAACGCTAGCAACCTGCAGCCCCTTATGTAGCGACTGTACGGACCTTTGTGAAAACTGCAAGACCAGAAAGGCGGGAAACTGTACTGAGTCCCCGCCCCTTGCTTCTAAGACCTGAAATGAACAAGGGCTAGGGCGTTTTACTGGTATTCAGAAAATAAGAATCTTTAAACAGAAGCATCAAACGTATACACAAAGTGAATTGCCTCGTTTAAGTATGTTTGTATGTGTTTAAAGATTTATCCATTCCGTATATTTTTGGATCTTTGCCACTGGCCTTTAAGCCCAAATTCCCAAAACAAAGTAATTTATATATACATTGACAAGCAACCACGCCAGGCTTTGGGTTTGGAATCCATAAGCAAGCTGCTCTCAAACTATTATTGGGCATGTTTATTAATCTATCAGAGACTCAGTGGCCTTATCCATAAAATAGGATCAATACTATTGATAATGGAGTTATTGTAAACAAAATAGCATCTAGTTCGTGAACAATAAATTTCTATCGCCCTGGACTTTGTTCTTAAAAATAAAGTATTTATAATACAGACAGGCCTAAGGCACATGGGAAGATTTCAAAACATTTCTGATATAACACCAGTTTGTACAGTGTGCTTTCACTTATACAGATTAAGCATATAAATTTGAACAATGAAGGATTGCAGAGGAAAAGAATGTAAATTGTCAGGGGCTAATAATACCCTGTTCTTATATAGAGGACAGAGGGTGGAGGGGTGATTGTCCTTTACTGTGGTTGGTGCATGGAATTCATGCAAAGCTATAAACGCCAATGTTAGGCAAAGAGATTTTATGCAAGTGCCAGAAGTAAAAATGTGATTTTTCCTAGATTTTTATATTATTTTTAAAAAATTGTCGAGCACTATGATTTAAATGATGTCCTTAGAATAAATAGAATGTTCAAAATAAGATTATTTTTACATCACACTGTGATATACCAAGCACACTGTCCTAAGAGCTGAGCAGTAGCTCAACCAATTACCTCATCAGTAAATTTGAGATTACAAATATCAAAACTCAATTTACTTTTGAGATAGTGGCAGCAATAGCTAAAAAATCACACACGAACATAAACGAACCAAACTGCTGTTCAATGGACATGTCATCACTAGAACAGCCAGAAGAAAGGAAAACACTGCTATTTATGCAAAAACAAACCAAAACACACCAAAAAAAGAACACTAATTTGTTAAACAAGCCTTGGAATCCAAAGCAATACACAGTAGCAACTGCTGAAGAAAGATCACAGCTTTTTTTACATTGTTATTTTGAAATAACTAAATTCACAAAAAGTTGCTCCAATAGTACCTAGAGTTCCTCGAACCCAGTTTCCCCTAATGGTGAAATCTTATATTATAATATCAAAGCCAGGTATTTGACATTGGCAAAGTACTTTTAACTAGCCTACAGGCCTTATTCAACTCTCACCAATTTTTCCATGCACCCATTTGTGTGTGTGTGTGTGTGTGTGTGTGTCTGTGTGTGTAGCCCTTTGCAATTTTATGTGTCACTACCATCTCAACGCTGACACAAAACTGTTCCATCATCACCAATGAACTCCTTAATGTAACACTTTTATATTCACATCCACTCACTTCTCCCTTGTCCTGGGGCAATCACTAATCTGTTATCCACCTCTAGAATTGCCATTTTGAGAATGTTATATACATGGAATAATACAAAATGCAACATTTTGAGACTGGCTTTTTTCACTAAGCATTACCCATCTAGGTAGTTGCATGTATCAATGGCCTCCCTTTTTATTGCTGAGTAGGATTGCATTGCATTGTGATGAGAATTTATGTAACCATTCACCAGTTGAAAGATATTAAGTTATTTCTAATTTATAAATAAAGCTGTTATGGACTTTCATGCACAGGATTTTTGTTGTTTCTCCCCAGCTGCCCCCACCCCCACCCAGTTTTGTTTTGCTTTTTGTATTTCCTGCGTTCCACCTGAAAATTACATTTTTTAAAATGGCAGAAGTGCTGCGATGATGACTGGAAGCCTAATAAGCCTTTCAATAGTCACATAGAAATCACATTGCATTGCCATTATCACTTGCAGTTTTGCTTCAAGGTTGAAAAGCATTGCACTGCGCTATTCCCACTGTTTCTGAAGTGTAACTTCTGGTTTCTGTAGCTGAGGATTTGCTCCAGTAACAGTCTGCAACGTTTGTTAAATAAACTGTTGGTGTCCAGTGTCTTTGGTTCCTGCCGTGGGACGTGTGTTCTCACTTTTCTGCAGAGCTATTCACTTACCTCCTGGAGAGCCTCCAGTGTTGTCTAATCCCCCCCGACCGGGAGTAAACCCAGGAATAAGGCTGGGCGTTCCCACTGCCAACATCTGTAAAACTGACTGACTCCACAAACCTGGCATTACTCTAGGGTTTGTCCTAGGATTCTGCATTTGTTAGAGGAAAGTTGGGAGCTGTTGTCTCATTGGCTCTTTGAGGATGAATAATAGGTGATTATGGCAAAGCCTAAGTTCTGCCTTAGTGACTATATTATGTTTCTCATGCAGGGTGCAGACACATTCTGCACAATCTGAATTTTCATTTATATGCTGCAACAACCTATAAATTCCTGATGTGCTGAACTTACTTATTAGTTCAGGCCCCAGATTTGGTGCACTAGTGCTATGCCCAACTGTATCACTGACAGCACTGCTGCCCACTCTGCTGGTGGTGCTGCTGGAAGTTGAACTCTGCAAATCCCATGGAACCCATGTTTTGGGTACCAGGTCTCTATTTTCAGTACAGAAAGTATGATGACATTTACCAGAGGATGTATTGCTTAGCACAGAAGCAAATAAGTTAACACCAAACTGCTCTCCAGTAGTACTCAGCCTGGGTCCTTGAATATGTTCATGTTCATGTGCACACACATGTGTATGTGTGTGCATGCCACATAAAACATCCCTAGGATGCTTTCCAGGTTGCTCAACGACCCACCCTTTTAATCATACCTGACGTCATCCCTGGACTTCTTGTATCAGGGAGAGGGAAATTTGAATTATTTTGCCTGGTCTGATAATTAAATTGACATAGATTAACGGGGGAAAAAAACAATTTGTATGCACGGAGGTCATTCAGAAATGAGACCACCAAAGTAACCAAAGCAGGCTATATTTATATATTTACATTATGTATATATATATGCCATATATACACACACACACACATATATGGCTTGTACTTGGGGTAGCAGACAAATGAAGTTTGCTTATACAGCTTTCTTAGTGTTGAATTCCCAAATTCTATTAAGGATACTTTCTATTCTCATACTGGTATAAGTATACCTTCACATGGGAGGTTTATTTCTCTTTTAGGGGTTAAGAGGATAAAAATATTTATATATCACCTATTTTCCCCTGGCTGTTTCTCAAATAACTTTAAGGATTGCAGAGGAAAAGTAGTTTCAGGAATCAATGTCCTGTTCTTATATGGAAGACAGAGTGTGCAGGGGTGACTGTCATTTCCTGGGGATAGTACATGGAATACTTGGGGTTGAAGGGAGTTCTGCCCTCCTCCAGCCTTGCCTTGGTGGGGGTTGGGGGAATTTTCTACTAACTTGTGATACAGTTCCTCAAAGTGAAATTATAGGTGGCTCTGAAAAGAGCCTTTGGGTTTTAAGTTGGCACTTGTTGGCAATAATAATTTATGCTCTCTCGCCGCGGATGCGGCGGGCGAGCTGGATGTCCTTGGGCATGATGGTGACGCGCTTGGCGTGGATGGCACACAGGTTGGTGTCCTCGAAGAGCCCCACCAGGTAGGCCTCGCACGCCTCCTGAAGCGCCATCACGGCCGAGCTCTGGAAGCGCAGGTCTGTCTTGAAGTCCTGCGCGATCTCGCGCACCAGGCGCTGGAACGGCAGCTTGCGGATCAGCAGCTCCGTGGACTTTTGGTAGCGGCGGATCTCGCGCAGGGCCACCGTGCCGGGCCGGTAGCGGTGCGGCTTCTTCACGCCGCCCGTGGCTGGTGCGCTCTTGCGGGCCGCCTTGGTGGCCAGCTGCTTGCGCGGCGCCTTGCCGCCGGTCGACTTACGAGCAGTTTGCTTTGTACGCGCCATTACTTATCTCCAAAATAAAGGGGCTAAACTGGTAGATTTGCTTCTATATTTATACAAGAACAGAATCACTCTGATTGGATTGTGGGCAATTCCTGTTAGTCATCCACTGCTAAATTCCGGAAGTGCTCCGAGCGATTTAGGATTGGTTTATCCATTAGGTGCAAGTTTGGGATTGGTGAATTTCAATTAGCAGACATCTTCCCAGCCCCTTAAAAAAAAAATTTCTTTTTTTCCGAGTTGTTTTATCGATAATACCCATACACTCAAGTACTGTCCAAAAACACATTACTCATTTAATATTCTTCAACATTTTTCCTGTTTGGATATACAAAATAGAATGTGTTCGGGAAAGTTTAGACTTTAGACACCCGCCATTTTCTGCAGTTAACCCGTTTTCATCGGATCTTAGTCCCAGGCCTTACCCCTATTTAAAAATCCATCGTCTAAGCATCTCATGAATCCTATTTCACATTGACCGTAAACATCTAGTTCACTGTAACATGGAAATACTGTTAAGATATAAGGAATTTTGTGTTATTCAGGGGACACGCAGCAAAATCCCAATATCCTGGAATCCCTGGGTCTTTAGTGTCGTTTGACTCAAAACTGGTAATTTGGGGCTTCCCTGGTGGCGCAGTGGTTGAGAGTACGCCTGCCGATGCAGCGGTTCGTGCCCGGGTTTGGGAAGATCCCACATACCGCGGAGCGGCTGCGCCCGTGAGCCATGGCCGCTGGGCCTGAGCGTCCGGAGCCTGATGCTCCGCAACGGGAGAGGCCACAACAGTGAGAGGCCCGCGTACCGCAAAACAAACAAAAAACAACTGGTAATTTGGCTCTGTTGTTTGGTTTTGATGCATTTTTAAAATGTCACCTTGGGTCTAACGGTGAGAGCCGTCATGAAAAGCTTTGCAATGGGGAACCTTAAAAAAGATGGCGGCGATCGAGTCTTTCTTGATAACACTGCAATGGGCCGGCATTTCGGGACTCCTTCCGAGGGTCCCAAGGTGTCCCGGACAAACCCGACACACCTGCGGTCAGGACTGGACTAGGCTAGATAACAGGATTTCCTTACCTGGTTTCCGCATCCGAACGCGAAGACTTTCATTTAATTAAAAAGAAATTGATTTTTTGTGTGTGAATGAATTTATAATCTCATGAGAGTGTTGTAAATTAACCGATAGAAATATACAAAAGTGTTCGTTTTTGATCCAATAAAAAAGGGAGTTTTTGAATCCTAGTTTACATACTACTAACCTATTGGTCAGCTTTTGTCCAATCAAAGTTTAGCTTTGTGAATGTTCGTTTGTATATCCTTGATATAAATACTCGCGATGTTCTTTTTGTTCTCGTTCTTTTAATCCCCCAATTTTGCTTACTTTGTTTACCATGCCAGAGCCGGCTAACTCTGTCCCAACTCAGAAAACGGCTCCAAAAGGCAGTGATTCAGGTTCAGAAGAAAAATGGCAAGAAACGCAAGTGCGGCCATAAGGAGAGCTATTCTATCTTTATCTATGTAAAGTGCTGCAAGTAGTTCCATTCGGACCCCAGCATCTCGTCCAAGGCCATGGGCATCATGAACTCGTTTGTCAATAACATCTTTGCGTCGCGGGCGAGGCGTCGCTCCTGGAGCATTAAAACAAGCACTTGTCCACATTCAGGGAGATTCAGAAGGCCGTGGGCCTGCTGCTGCCCGGGGTGCTGGCCAAGCACACCGTGTTCGAGGGCACCAAGGCTGTCACCAAGTACACCAGCTCCAAGTAAATTTTTCTAGGCCTCTAGCATTTCTCAATGGTTCTTTTTAGAGCCACTCATTTTTGCATATTGAGAACTATAATATCAAGATTTGTCAGTATTTTAAAAACATGTTTTTTTCTTTTCTTTTTTTTTTAACAGTCATTCTTTAAAGCGCAGGAAACAGTATTACAGTATGAGAGGTTTATTTGAATTTTTGTTCTTCAGTACAGTAAAGAATTTGAAATGTGTGTTGTAGGAACCAGTAAAAGTTCTAGTATTCTGGGTTTTGTGTTTTTATTTCTTAAAATCTTTAAATTGTTCTTGTAGCCAGTCATTGCTTAGATTGAAAATTTTAGAGTGAGTATCTGTGGACTTAAAGTTGTGTGATGCTAGTACCTGTATTTGGGTTCCTTGTTTTAAATATAATACCCATGTTACAACAAAATAATTTTATGTGCTTCACAAATATTAACTCATGAGATGGTGTTTGTACTTTACAAAGGGTCGGAATCTCAGTTATACAGTATATACTGGACTAGGCCTGGAGTATTTGCTGGAACCTCAGAGTTTAATCTCAACTACAAGTATACGCTTTCAAAGGTGAATTTTCAAATTTGAATTAAAAAGAAAAGATTTTCATTTTATTTTGTCTTGAGGCTATTATTGATATAATCAACCCTACATGGTGCTGAAGTGGGGTCTGAAATCCTCAATTTGACGAATTTTTATTTTATATTTCATTTTTGTATTTCTTGCCTTCAGTCAGTGTTAGGTTCTGTATTCATTTACACAGGAGGAAAAAAAAAAACGAAGAAACAAAAAACAGGAGTAAGAAGATGTACAAGTGCAGGGAGAACAGAGAATATGGAATGAAATGTACAGTTTGCCTGAGTTAATATTTTGATAGTTTCTGTATTGCTGAAAGCAAAATGACTGATAAATTGCTTTTAGTACTTTTCACGGCTTATAGAGTTGCTATTTGGGCGGCCAGCAAGACACTACCAATGCATGTGCCAGGTCAGCATTGGGTGTGTGAGTAGAGGTTCACATAGTTGTGAAACAATGTTCACATTAAAGTTTTTTTTTAAATGTAGGTCTTCCTTTAGATAAAGATTGAAGTTTCAGTTCATCATATCTGTTATTTTTGATGACATGGATTGATGAAGATGCCAAATGTGTTGGCTGTCTTTATTGCTGCACAACAGATTGCCTTGAAATTTCTAGCTTCAGACAACACACATGTATTATCTCACAGGTTCTGTGGGTCTGGGCAGGGTTTAGCTGTGTCCTCTGTGAGGATGCTATTGAGGTGTTATGCAGGACTGAGGTCTCTTGGATGTTTGGGGAAATATCTGCTTCCAAACTAATTTACTGGTTGGTTGGTTGTAGTTTTAAGACTGAGGGTCTTATTTTCTTGTTGGCTGTTGGCTTGAAGCCCTTATGGGCTGTTAGTTGAAGGCATCCCTCAGTTCCTAAATAGCTCTGTGAGTTTCTTGTCATTTGGGCCTGACAACAGGGATACTTGATTCATCAAAACCAGCATGTAAGAGTCAAGGATGTTACAATCCTAGATAACATAGTCATATACACAAAATTTTTTACATCCTGTCACCTATGGTCACCTGGTTTGATGGTTAAAAGCAAGTCACAGGTCACATCCACACTCAAGGGACTTGATCACACAAGAGTGAACCTCAAGAGGGGAAATCCTGGGGGCCACCTTAAGAGACCATCACAGAACCCAGCAGGAACAAAAGACGTTAGCTAACAATTGCTCCTTCTTTCCCAACCCCCTCCCCACACCCCTGCTGCCACAGTACTGGGATTGGTTCAAATGGCCTGCAGGCAGGAAACCTATGTAAGGAAAAGGCACCTAATACCTTGAAGTCCTTTTAAACAGGCCTCTGCCAGTGACTTTCTTTTGAAGCCAAGACACAGAAGAATTTGTTCATTTATTACTTTGGGGACTTCTTTCCTCTTTTCCTTTGCAAATACTGACAACATGAGAAAACCTTTGGTGTGGCGGAGTCCCAGCACAGGGCTAGATGTCCATGTAGCTCGGTTTCTGACATTATAGTTGAGAAAAGAAACAGGAGGGTTCTTGAGATGAATTAAAGTGTTGCTTTATTACAGACTACCAGGGAATAGATTTGAAAAGGCAGGAGACAAATCCCAAATTCTTTGTAGATTAAAAAACATCTGGTAATCAGTTTATATAATCCAAATATAAATGCTTTTAAGGGATAGAAGAAACGGCCCATGTGCCACCTGGGCCTCCTCATGGGTGCCTTCACTCTCTACAGTTCAGTCTTAGCTTCTTTCATTATACCTCTTCCCTTGAGTTGCCCTACTAGGGGCTGAATATTTAAAATTTACCGAAGTTTTGAGTGAGATTTGAGCAGGCCAGTAAGGCATTACCTATATTTGTCCCCCAACACTATTCATAGCTTACTGTCAAACAGTAATTCCGTATTTCAGAAAATCTAATAAATTAGTAAAATCTTAAAGTTCACTGGTTAATTTTGCAAGACCGAGAATTCCTAAGAATCAGAAGTGCTATTCAAACAATGTGGGACGCTTAAGGGTTCTACACTGGAAAAGCCATCGTGTGGCATTAAAACTGCAACACGGTGTAAACGTTTGATGCATTCAAACCTAAGCAAACATGAGCTGCGTTAAAGCAACTGCACCCAAAAAATCTAACAAACTTCGGAACTCAAGTTCCTTACAAAAAAACCCTGAAAACACCAATTCAGGGCAACGAGCTCTTTCAAGCGAGTAGTTAGATGGCCCTGAAAAGTGCCTTGGGCATTGCTACAGAAAATTAGTTTGTGGGTGCCGACTTAAACGCCAAATCCGTAAAGGGTGCGTCCCTGGCGCTTGAGCGCGTAGACCACGTCCATGGCCGTGACAGTCTTGCGCTTGGCGTGCTCGGTATAGGTGACCGCGTCCCGAATTACATTCTCCAGAAACACTTTCAGAACCCCGCGGGTCTCCTCATAAACAAGACCTGAGATGCGCTTTACTCCACCGCGACGAGCCAGGCGACGGATTGCAGGTTTTGTGATCCCTCGAATGTTATCCCGCAGGACTTTGCGGGGGCGCTTGGCGCCCCCTTTACCCAAGCCCTTCCCTCCTTTGCCACGTCCAGACATCACTAAGACAAGATGAGGTACTGTACTCAAATAGAAAGCACACCGAAATTCTTATTTAAAACCCGGAAGCGGACCTTTTTGAAAACTACAAATGAGGGTGGGTAGGGGGTGGAGTTAGTTCGTAACCTAATTTATCCCCGCCCACCATGCCTGAGAGTCAGTGGGGCGGAGCCGAAAAGAGAAGATTGCTTTGTCTGCTCATTCTCAGAATTCAGTTTAACACGTTCTGTTTAAGGGCATTAAAAAAAATTCTCTTGTTTATCAAGGGAATAAAATAATTGTACCTATTAAGCCAGCATCTGTTTTTCAAGTTTGGATATTTAGGCCAAGTCATTAACCGAAATTATACATTGCCTCTCATTTTAAACGCATATCTGAAATGCAAACGAGTCCCTGCCTCCTCTCTTCCCAGAGAAGCATTTTTTTTTTTTCGGTACGCGGGCCTCTCACCGCTTTGGCCTCTCCGGCCGCGGAGCACAGGCTCCGGACGCGCAGGCCCAGCGGCCATGGCTCATGGGCCCAGCCGCTCCGCGGCACGCGGGACCCTCCGGGACCGGGGCACGAACCCGCGTCCCCCGTATCGGCAGGCGGACCCCCACCCACTGTGGCACCAGGGAAGCCCGCAGAGAAGCATTTTTGTATACTTTAAATGAAGGTGAAATAGTTATGGTGGTAAACTTGTCTTAGGGAGCGAGGAAATTTCTGAAATCCATTGGGCAACAAGGCTTTCCCGCTGGCGTGTTTGTTTTTGGGAGGTATGACTCCATTGCTTGCGCCCTAAGTATTTGCTACCTTTCACCTTCTGACGTCCAGGACCTGTTTTATGACAGATGTTTTCTTATTTTTACTTTATTTTCTTCATTTGTAGAATGGAAATGTTAACCCCGACATCACAAAGGTGTTCTGAAAATCAAAAAGTAAACTTCTGGTCAAATGCTCAACACAGTCATTGAGGACTACTGTAATTACCTGCGGAAATTCCATCTTCATGCTCCACAGATTGACTTTCTCCCCAATATTCTTAAATCTCTCAATCTGGTATTTTGCTATCTGGGCCTATGTTCAGTTGCTTTCATAATCTCCATATCTTTTTGTGTGCAAACTTTGTATTTAAGAAGTCAGTGCTAAACTTACATCATTACATTTATATAACTCCCCCAATTTAACCAGCAGTCTCCATTGCCATCTCCTCGCTCCAAACACAATTCCCAAGACTGTATTGTCTGATAAAGTAGTCAGGAATAACTTTTGAGCCGTTATTATATATGATATATATAATATATTCATATATATATGAAAAAAATTTTTGGAATGGGATTGATGCTGCTGAGGAGCTGAATTTTTAATTTTACTTAATTTTACTTATTTTAATTTAAAGGCTGATACTCCATTGCAGTTATTGGAAATTTTTAGGTATGTTTGAACAACCTGGGCATGTGAACTTAATTTTAAACAATAAACTGTATGGAATTTAAATACAAATCATTTCCAGTAAAAAAAATTAGTGTCAGATTGACTAAAATATAAACCCAATTTGGTAGATTTAGATTGAAAAAAAGAATGTAAGATATTGCATTAATAATATCTCTATATTTATTACATGTTGAAATGAACATATCTTGGATGTTTTGGGTTAAATGCAATGTATTATTTAAAATACTGCATCTCTTTGCTTTTTAAAATGTGGCTACCGAAAAATTTTTCATTAAATGTTTGCCTTGCATTGTTTTCTTTGGTCAGTGGTGCTCTAGAATTTTCCCTTTCCCCTCTCTGTTTCTTGATCTGTATCCAACCTTGCTATCATGGGCTTTGGAACACAGTGGACGTTCAATGTATTTCTAAGAAACCCAATTACAGATACTCGTCTCAACTAAAATGAAGCATTGCAAAAATAAATTAAAAAATAAAATCACATTAGAGAACTAAGGCAGGCTTGTGGAATAAACCATTACTTATGAAGGCAGGAAAAGATGAATACTAGAAAAATTGTTGACCTTAGAATTCTTCAAGGGCAGAATATCAGGAAATGGAGAGTACCTGAAAATTTATGCTTATTTTTTTCCCCCCAAAAGTGTGTTTCTTGAGAGGGAACATTCAGAACTGATTATGAAAGCAATGAGTGTTCTTTGATTGATAGATTGTTTGATAGATTGTGCACTCAGTGGTTTTATAAAAAAAAAAGAAGAAAAGAAATCATTTAGTAGAAGTATAAAAGCGTTTCCTTAAAAGAAGGAAGGCCAGGAAACAATTTACTGTTTCTGGAAAGTAGGTAGAGACCAAGAGAGAATGAGGTTAAAAAATCAGGTAAATTACTTTGGAGTCTAGAAAGAATAAAAAGTTAAAATATCCATTATTTGATGCATGAGTAAAATAAGAATGTCAAGGAGTTACACCATGGTGTGTCATAGAAATTTATCTTAAAAGTTTATATATATATTTATATACATACATACGTGTGTGTGTGTGTGTGTGTGTGTGTGTGTATTTTTTTTTTTTTGGTAACGATTCACTGTGTTGATCTTGGGTGGCCTCAGCCTGCAGGATTTCAGTTCCCGGGCTAGAGACTGAAGTCAGGCCACGGTAGTGAGAGTGCTGAATTCTAGCCACCAGACCACCAGGGACAGTGGCCAGTGACAAGGCCCCTGGCCCCCTGGCTTTGCAGAAATGAATTCCCACAAAGAGACAGGAAGTAGTGAAACGACTAAAGTGTTTATTAGGAGGAAAAAGAGTACTTGTGAATAGTGTGGACTTAAAAAATTATTCACAACCTAAAAATTGAGAGTTATGTTTTATTTGGCGGAGATTTTTAGGACTTAAAAGCCTGGGAGGCAGCATCACAAGTAACCCTGAGAAAACTGCTCCTAGGAGGCTAGGGGAGACCCAGGTTTTATAGACATTTTGCAACAAAGGGCAGTTAGGAACATCAAAAGATTATTGTTAATTAAAGGAAACTAGATATCTCAAATTAAGGAATTTAGCTCTTTTCTATGTATGGGAAGATGCAAGAGTCTGGGCTCACTGAACTCATTCCTTTGATATGCACCTCAGCTGTCTGGGGCCAGTATCCTGTATTTTCACATCCTGAGTTTCCTCAGGGCTCACTGTATGGAGTGGCTTCAGTCTGATGGCTGCTAGATGGCAGGTATTCTTTCCTTCCTAAGTTCCCTCAGGGCTCACCAGCTCACATTGGAGAGCTGCAAGCACTGCTGACTGTGACATCCTTTGTTTACTGATATGGCAGGAAATATTCCATTTCTCAATAGGTACACATGGGTGAACTCAGAATGTTGAGTGACGCAGTAGTTTAAATCACTTATACAGGGCATCTCTTCCAGGTTTCTTTTGACCAATCTTGCTTTTCTTGGTTCTAAGTTGTATTTGGATTATCTCAGGGTCCTGCCACGTGTGCTCCTGCATCTCTTAGCCAAGATGGATTCTAGCAAAGAGGCTTATGGCTACGTTGACATCACTCACTATGGGGTGGTGCCCCCTCCTTATCTGACCTCCAAGGAGTGTTTCTGCGCGTGTGTAGTCTGGAAGGTTTCCTTGACCTTGAGAATGAGGTATATGTGGTCTCTTTATCTTTTATCTGGGCAGGACTCAGCTCCTCTCTGCTCCAGCTATTATCTTTGTCTTGGAGTATCTGTCCACAGGCAACAAACTCCAGCTGCTCAGCCTGGGGCTCATCTATCTCCTGCCTCAGTGTGAGAAAAATTGTCTGAGACTTGGAAGTAAGGAAAAAAGGAGGGGCCATCATGTCCAATATACAAGGTTATAGGCCACACAAGGATTCTATAAAAGTGTACTTAGACAGGCAACAAACTCCAGCTGCTCAGCCTGGGGCTCATCTATCTCCTGCCTCAGTGTGAGAAAAATTGTCTGAGACTTGGAAGTAAGGAAAAAAGGAGGGGCCATCATGTCCAATATACAAGGTTATAGGCCACACAAGGATTCTATAAAAGTGTACTTAGGGGCCTCCCTGGCTACTGGGACAACTGGAAAGGCTACTACTAAATTTTTAAGTCTGAAAAATTTACCCTGACCTTGACTTCCTCCTCCTTTCCCTTGAGAGACTTTATAACAATACAAACCTGATTCGAGACTGCAACAGCATTAGCTGTAAACTTCAACCTGTGGTGTAACATCACTCTGTGGGCCTGAGTAAGAAAAACCCTTTCTGACTGAAGACCTTGCAGCAGCCATTTAAAAGATACAATCTGTACATTAAACACCCCCTTTTGTCTTCAGCCCAACCTTAGTCACTCCCCTAATATAAAATAATAGATGCTTAATGCAATGATGTTAAAACGCTGGCACCATCCCCCTGCTCAAAGTGTTCAGTAAATTTTCTTTCACAAATTTGATGTTCTTCCACGTTTGATTTTAAAATGCCTGAATTTTATTTCTAAACTGAGCAGAATCTATGCAAGTAAGTAATGCCAAGTAAAAGGGAAATTTAGAAGCTAAAGTTTGTCTTTATTTCAAATTTTGAAAAATCCTAGAGTATGAGAGAAAATGATACACAGTTCAGGAAAATTAATAGCATTTATATGATGCTATGTGTCCCAAACTTGATGCATATTATTCTAATAACAACCCTACGAAGTGGGTCATGTTACCCCCATTTTTCTGATGATGGAGAAATTGATTTGTCTAAGATGACACATTAAGTAGTAAAGCTGGTATATGAACTCGGGTAAGCTAGAATCCAAATGCTGCCAGCTTGCAGAGTATACCCTAGAAAAATTAACAAGGTTATGAATTTTAAGACTGTGTTAACCTTTTTTTCCTAGATACTGCACAGTTGTTCTGTTGAGGGGCTCAAGTAAATGAAGACTTAAAGCCAAATCCATGTTCCTTGGCTGGGGAGGGGAAGGATCAGCCAGTCCCAGCCATTGTCCCCTGCCTATCTGATCCTCAGACAGCAATGGGCACTTTTACTTTTTAAAAGCTATCCTATCAGGCCCTGTACATAAAACTTTTTTCCCAAGATACATAAAATATTAAAGGAAAAAGTCAAACAGTGTACATAAGAGCCAGCACAGCAATAAACAAGAAAAACCAAGATACCTGGACTTCAGCAGGGGCCAAGAGCTGAGGGGCAAAATCATCTTGGTTTAAGCCAAGGGCATTGTTGCCTCTGACAGACCCCTTATATGGGTAACAAAGGTCTGTGCCAGGCAGAGGCTTATACCAGTCTGGAAAAAATAAAATGTTAAAATAAAACAATATACACAGAAATATCTTTGTCACTAAAAAAAATACATTATTTTGTAAACCAAAAGTTTTTATTGAAACCCTGAAATGTAAATAAATCCAAGTGAACAACACAACACACATTACTGTGTATTTTGTGGGTTTTGTTTTAGGTGGGAGTTGGGCAAATCATTTTAGCAATGTGAGTCAATTCTCATCTCAGAGGTAGGCAGACTACTAGGAATAGGGTATGGAAAAAACTGAAGCAAAGCCTTCAGAATTGGTGGCTGTCATGTTTTTCAGCATTCTGTATTTTATAGTTTGTAAAATATAGTGTAAAAGCTACACAATAAAAAGGTTATTTTTCTTCTCACATTTGGTCACTATCCCATGTGTCACTTTTCACCCAGTACAGAATCCCCAAACCGAAAAAACGTAAAAGCAAGATCACTGAGTCAAATGGCTAAAGTCCTGTATTTGAGTAACAACTACAGCACAGAATTGTGAAAAAATTGTACAGCATAGCATACCATGGTACATAGCCCTAGAAGACAAAAGCAACGTGAGATAAAGCAATGCAATCAACTGGACTATTTACAAGCAGGGCCATAATTAAATTAAGGTTTGATAAACTATGCCTGGAATGGCTACCTGTTAAGGAAATATGGTTAGACCCTCGCCTCACACAACTCCAATAACGTCTGGCTGTGGCGGAAGGAGTTGGGACAGGAAGAATTCTACCCTAACCCACCTTTCTTAAGGGGAGAATTTTACTTCCTTACGGTACAGCTCTTCAAAATGAAGTTGTAGGTGGCTCTGAAAAGAGCCTTTGGGGTTAAGATCAGCACTTAATGGAAAAACAAGTTTACGCTCTTTCACCACGGATGCGACGGGCAAGCTGGATGTCCTTGGGCATGATGGTGACGCGCTTGGCGTGGATGGCACACAAGTTGGTGTCCTCGAAGAGCCCCACTAGGCAGGCCTCGCACGCCTCCTGCAGCGCCATCACGGCCGAGCTCTGGAAGCGCAGGTCGGTCTTGAAGTCCTGCGCGATCTCGCGCACCAGGCGCTGGAACGGCAGCTTGCGGATCAGCAGCTCCGTGGACTTCTGGTAGCGGCGGATCTCGCGCAGGGCCACCGTGCCGGGCCGGTAGCGGTGCGGCTTCTTCACGCCGCCCGTGGCCGGCGCGCTCTTGCGGGCCGCCTTGGTGGCCAGCTGCTTGCGTGGCGCCTTGCCGCCGGTGGACTTGCGAGCGGTCTGCTTTGTACGGGCCATGACGATAACAGAAAAGAAAACTGGTTGGAGAGTAGTATGGTGCTTGTGCCGGTTCTGACCTTATTTATGGGTGCAGATCAGTCTGATTCCTAGTTCCCGCGCTGTGATCCAGTTGGTTCTCACGTTGCCTTTAGGAGAAATATGGTTGGATTCCATTAAAGATTAAATGAGTATCGAAATTTTATTTCAAGTTTATAGTCCACTTTGAATTGAGTCCATAACAGTAAGGTTTCATTTAGTATAGATTTTAGTGTACTTCATTCATTGAATTTTTCTGAAAAGAGAAACGACCAGTGGACTAAACAATTCTCACTAATAGTGCCGTCATTCGCAGAATTTAAAAAGCCCGCCCAGACATGTCATTGGTCAGCTATTCCTCCTTTGTTCTCTCATTTATTTTATTCATATTTTACTTTTTGACCCCAAGTTCGTTTGACTATACATTATATGTAATAATGTATATACCTCGTGTACATGCAAAACCACCACTCAACATGAGGCATTATGGTCTGTATCCTTTGTCATTTACATACATATACGTTATCCATAGCCTAAAAACCCTAATTTATGTCCTGACACAGAATTCCCTTAACAGGGGTTCTTTATGTGAGTTTACTAACGTATTGCATCTTTTCAGTTAAAGGGATGGCAGAAAGCTAGTTTTATGAATTTTTCTAAGAATTTATGGTGCATAAAATGTCACCAACGGCTAACAATTTAGCCCCGTTGTGGCAAAGATGGGAGCGGTTTCCCATTTTTAAATGCAAAACTTTTAACAGGCTAATATAAACAAAATTTAAGCGGAACTACACATTAAGACTTGAACACGTCTCCTACACTTACGAAGTATTTCAGCGCTTTGCGGGAGAAAAGTGGGTGGCTCTGAAAAGAGCCTTTGATTTTCGAAACGGGGACTGAAGAACTGCTAAACGTTTCACTTGCCCTTGGCCTTGTGGTGGCTCTCGGTCTTCTTAGGCAGCAGCACAGCCTGGATGTTGGGCAGAACGCCACCCTGAGCGATGGTCACGCGACCCAGGAGCTTGTTGAGCTCCTCGTCGTTGCGGATGGCCAGCTGCAGGTGGCGCGGGATGACACGCGTCTTCTTGTTGTCGCGGGCCGCGTTGCCCGCCAGCTCCAGGATCTCAGCCGTCAGGTACTCCAGCACCGCTGCCAGGTACACGGGGGCCCCGGCACCGACCCGCTCGGAATAGTTGCCCTTGCGAAGCAGGCGGTGCACTCGGCCCACGGGGAACTGGAGCCCGGCTCGCGAGGAGCGGGTCTTAGCTTTGGCGCGAGCTTTGCCTCCTTGCTTCCCGCGCCCAGACATACTGAATACTAGCAGGATAAAAACAGCCACAAGAAAAGCAAAAAAGGAATGTTCTATAAGGAGCAACAAGATGACAGTTATAGAGCTGGGTGGAATTGTCAAATGCGAGGTAGGATTGGTTAAAATCGTCTTTTGTACTAGACAACCAATAAGAAAGGAGATGTGATGCAAGTAAATTTACATAATCTCGTCACTAATGCATTATCAAATCAGTTCTGGATATTCTTGAATACCTTATTTGCATAGGTCGCCTATAAAAGACGAGATTCTAGACGTAAGCAGGCATATGAGAGTCATACTTTAGTGTGCGTTTCGAATTCGGCAAATATGCCTGAACCGGCTAAGTCTGCTCTTGCCCCGAAGAAGGGTTCCAAGAAGGCGGTGACCAAAGCCCAGAAGAAAGACGGTAAAAAGCGCAAGCGCAGCCGCAAGGAGAGTTATTCCGTGTACGTGTACAAGGTGCTGAAGCAGGTCCACCCGGACACCGGCATCTCGTCCAAGGCCATGGGTATCATGAATTCGTTTGTCAATGATATCTTCGAGCGCATTGCGGGCGAGGCGTCGCGCCTGGCGCATTATAACAAGCGCTCGACCATCACGTCCAGGGAGATCCAGACGGCCGTGCGCCTGCTGCTGCCCGGGGAGCTGGCCAAGCACGCCGTGTCTGAGGGCACCAAGGCTGTCACCAAGTACACCAGCTCCAAGTAAATGTTTATAGGTGCTGTTAAAACAAAGGCTCTTTTCAGAGCCACTTACATTTTCACGTGAAGAGTTGTGATGCCCTCTTGTTGCCCGTTTTGGGCATGTTATCTAAACGCAGTTAGATACCGGAGTTGGCTGAGTTGTTTCTGCAAGTAAGTCTATGTATAGAGAAGCCTTTGTGCTTATTAAAACAGGCTCTTTCTATTTCACCTCTTTCCCAAACCTTCCTATATTCTATACCAAAAAAGCCAAGAGCCCACCACGCTTTATTTTCAATTAGGAAAGCAAGGGGGCCTGGCTGGGTGGGATTAGGAAAGGGAACTCTTCCATCCTAGCCATGGTTTGGCACTCTGGTACCAGGAATTGGTTTCAGTTCCCAGCTTCCCCTGGCCCTTTCCCCAGAATGGATCCTACACTCCCAGAATCATGCCCCACCCCACAGAATTCAGAGCCTTTCCTCCACCTGGCCTCCTCTCCAAACTTTGACATTCTAGTACCTCTGCCTTCTCCTGTGTGCCCAGACCCCTATATGTGGTCCAGTTTCAGTTGTTTCTGAAACACTTCAGCTCGGGTTTTGCTCTTCCTCTCAAAACCTGTGTAACTTTTATTAAATTATCTTTGTAAAAATAACCAAGAGTTTTCTCTTTTCCTGACTGGACACTGACTAATGCATGGTGCCAAGCCTCTCTTGATTTAAACCTTTTGCTTATTTCACTGCGTTTCAGCATCAGGCACTTTGATAATCATACATTTTCCTTACTTTCGATCTCAGAAGGGTTTATCACCATCACTTCTCCCAGGTAGGTAAAGCATTTATTCCAGGAGACAAAAGAAGTGAGTCGAATTTGAGTGCAGCCTGCAGGCCTTTGGGATCTGGAGCTTCATTTCCTAGCCTAACCATGTCTTCCTTTTTCGCTGATTTGGGACACTTCATGAAAGATGAATAAGAAATGCACCAAGAAAAGGGATGTAGCCTAGTGTTGGGAGAGGAGGTAATTCATGCAAAAATACTTCCTAAAGTGTTGAGAAATCTGTACATGTGAAGTGTTTTTGAATTCTATCTAGACATCTTTGAAAGAAAATTGCATCAGAAGACATTGGTTGGAATTTGAGTTCTGTGAGGTAAATAATCTTTGGTTCTCACAGCCTCTGTTCCTTACTTTAAAAATGAGAATGTTGGGCTTCCCTGGTGGCGCAGTGGTTAGGAAATCCGCCTGCCAAATTCAGGGGACACGGGTTAGAGCCTTGGTCCGGGAAGATCTCACATGCCTCGGAGCAACTAAGCCAGTGCGCCACAACTACTGAGCCTGCGCTGTAGAACCCGTGAGCCACAACTACTGAGCCCGTGTGTCACAACTACTAGAGCCCGTGCTCTGCAACAAGAGAAGCTACCGCAATAAGAAGCCCACGCGCCACAACGAAGAGTAGCCCCCCTCACCACAACCAGAGAAAAGCCCGCGTGCAGCAGTGAAGACCCAAAGCAGCCAAAAATAAAATAAAATAAATTTATTAAAAAAAAAAAAAAAAGAGAGAGAATGTTATAGGAGTTCCCAGGCCGTCCAGTGTTAGGGATCCGCGCTTCCAGCTGCCTTGACCCCTGGTTCAATCCCTGGTCGGGGAATAAAGATCCCAGAAGCCGCGTGGTACGGCCAAAAACAAAACAAAAAACAAACAAAAAAGGATATTACTGAAACCAACTCATTGGCAGTTTTGTGTAAACAAATGCAGTAGTTACAATGAAAGCAAACATTACAATTTGATTTGCAATTCATGAAGTTATTTATGGACATTATGAGGTAAATTTTCCCATTACTCCTACACTTTACATATAATGAAGACAAGCTTTTTGATATAGTATTATAATCAAAAGTAATAATACGATAATGAATGAACAAAGTGCTGCTCCATGAAATTAGACTTTCTGCTGTTAAAATCAGACACCCTAGACACACTAGCTAAAAAAGGAAACGTAGGGGACTTCCCTGGTGTCTCAGTGGTTAAGAATCCGCCTCCCAATGCAGGAGACACGGGTTCGTAGCCCTGGTCCTGTAAGATCCTACACGGAGCAACCAAGCCCGTGCACCACAACTACTGAGCTTGAGCCTGAACTCTAGAGCCCGTGAGCCACAGCTACCGAAACCCGTGTGCTCTGCAACAAGAGAAGCCACGCGCGCAGCCCGCGGCAACAAAGACCCAACGCAGCCAAAAGTAAATAAAAATTGAAGAAAAAAAGGAAAGGTAAGTTGCCGCTGTTAAAATTAAAACAATGTCAAAATTATGTGAGCCTGCAATTTTAGGAAGAATTTACTTGTATCTATAGTCATTTATATATTTACACTTTTAAATTTAAACATATGTAGTTATAATCTTAAAGATCATTGAATACATTAATCAATAATTCTTAAACGTGAGTGCCTTTTCAATTGGTGGTCTGACAAATTATCACAAATACAGTGGCTTACAACAATACATTTATGATTTTATGGTTCTTTAGATCAATATTCTGAAATGAATTTCATTGAGCTAAAATGGTGTCAGAGGGCTTGGGCCTCTAACAATGGAAATCTGTTTCCTGTCTTTTCCAGCTCCTGGAGGATTTTCCTTGTTCCTTGGCTCACAGTCCTTTGCTAGATTTGAAAGCCAGCAGTATCTGGCCAAATTCTTCTCACACTGCCATCTCTCTGGTTCTGTACTCTGATTCCCTCTTCCATTGTTAAGGGCCCTTGTAATTATATTGGGTTCACTTGGATTATCTAGGATAATCCCATTTATTTATTTGGCCACGCGCAGCATGCAGGATCTTAATTCCCCGAACAGGGATTGAACTCATGTCCCCTGCAGTGGAAGCGCGGAGCCCTAACCGCTGGACCTCCAGGGAATTCCCTAGGATAATCCTATTTAAAGTCAGGTGATTAGCAACCTTAGTGCCATCTGCCACCTTAATTCCCATTTGTTATGTATCCTAACATATTCACAGACTCCAGAGATTAAAAGGTAGACGTAAGTGGGGAGGTATCATTCTGCCTAGCACAGTGACAGTATTTTTAGAATTTGACAGAATGCTATATACTTTCTGTTCTGGTGGGAGGACGAACATATGGACACACTACTGTATGTAATTTCTTGGATTTCATATACTCCCTTAAAGCTCATATAGACCTGGTGTAGATGTTTATCTCTGGGACTACAGAAAGCAAAAATTGACTATTTACAATAACATAAACTCTCAAATACAGCTATCTGTTATTTTTAGTTTTCATTCTTTTACATTAAAAAAATTTTTGCTTTTGTTCTTTATATGTATTGTTTGAATGTTTATGCTTTTTTTGTGTGTGTATGTTGTGTGTGCATATTTATGTGTTGTGTTGGGAGTGGGAAGCCTGGTAGTCATTAATTACACAAGATTATAGACTATTAGTACTTTTTTCCTACCAGGGTTGAAATCCTAAAAATATGTTGTAAATACATTCTTAGTATTTGTTCCATATGGGATGCCATTTATGACAGTTTATAAACTTAAGCAGGTTTGTGATTATGAGAAAAGTGTCAATTTTCATGACCGTTATATATGTATACATAGGACAGGAGAGTGGTGGTGGTATGAATTATTTTCATTTAAAAAGTTTTTTTTTTTTTTCTGACTAGGGCAAAATAATCATAACATCCACCCCGAGAGAAAATAACATAATTTAAAGGAGAGGAGGCACCAAAATATTTTAAGGGTATTTCTTTCCTGAACTGCCAGTGGGTTCGGCAATGGTCTAACTTTTCATTAGCCAAACCTTGGAAAAATTCTCCTTACAATTAAATGGCCCTATCCTGGAACCAGTGATACTCGCTTTTCAATTTCTATGCACATTAACTGTGCTGCTCCCATTAATACATAGAAAAGTTATATTGCTCTAATCAAATCGAATACATGTACATATTCTTCTTACTACCACACAGCACTAACAAGGTATTGTCAAGGATTTAAGAGGATTTCTTAAATCCTCTTCGCTTTCCATGGAGTCAGTTCGTAGGGCACACTACATCACAGCAGTTCAAATGATACTTACATGTCCACACTTGGCTAGCCTTGTAGCCAAAGTGAGCAGTGAAAGCAAGAGAAGGCTATGCTACCATTTACCTAGAAAGTAAATACATATTTTATTTTCAAACCAAAATGCTGTGTACTTCAAGTGTTAGCACCATATAGCAACAAGTTCGTTTCAATAAATTAAAATTGAGTCTATTATGGCAATCATATTAGAGACGAATCATTACAACTCTTGTGCTGAAAAAGTGGGTGGCTCTTAAAAGAGCCTTTGAGACTAACCACGAAAAGCACTTTTTTGCTGGGGTCACTTGGAGCTGGTGTACTTGGTGACAGCCTTGGTGCCCTCGGACACGGCGTGCTTGGCCAGCTCCCCGGGCAGCAGCAGGCGCACAGCCGTCTGGATCTCCCTAGATGTGATCGTGGAGCGCTTGTTGTAATGCGCCAAGCGCGACGCCTCACCCGCGATGCGCTCGAAGATGTCATTGACGAAGGAGTTCATGATACCCATGGCCTTGGACGAGATGCCAGTGTCCGGGTGGACCTGCTTCAGGACCTTGTACACGTACACAGAATAGCTCTCCTTGCGGCTGCGCTTCCGCTTCTTGCCATCTTTCTTCTGGGCTTTGGTCACCGCTTTCTTGGAGCCCTTCTTCGGGGCGGGAACGGACTTGGCCGGCTCCGGCATGACGAATACCGTGCCAAATTAAAGGAAAAAGTATGTCGTGGAAACATCACTCAAGATATTTGTAGAGCTACTATGCAAATATGGTATGTAAAACTTTACACTTTGATTGGATAAATTTTCCACGTTGTTCGGTGGTATGCAAATTATGTGACAGCAGTTCTCCTTTTTAATTGGTTGCAAGCTTTTAGACCCTTTTAGCCAATCAAACAGTGTAATTTACAATTCGGCTTCGAAGTATAATTGCTTCTCATTTGTTAAGAGAATTTGTACTTTCGTTTCGCTTCTTCTTCGCTAAGCACCTTGATTAGATTGATAAGATGTCGGGACGCGGAAAACAAGGTGGGAAGGCTCGTGCCAAGGCTAAGACCCGTTCTTCTCGGGCTGGGCTCCAGTTCCCTGTGGGCCGAGTACACCGCCTGCTCCGAAAGGGTAACTACGCTGAGCGGGTCGGGGCCGGCGCGCCGGTGTACCTGGCAGCGGTGCTGGAATACCTGACGGCCGAGATCTTGGAGCTGGCGGGCAACGCGGCCCGTGACAACAAGAAGACGCGTATCATCCCGCGTCATCTGCAACTGGCCATCCGCAACGACGAGGAGCTCAACAAGCTGCTGGGCAAAGTCACCATCGCTCAGGGCGGCGTCCTGCCCAACATCCAGGCCGTGCTACTGCCTAAGAAGACCGAGAGCCACCACAAGGCCAAGGGCAAGTAAACTGCAGTATTCAAATTCTTGATCTTTGAGGAATCAATTTTAACCAAAGGCTCTTTTCAGAGCCACCCACGTATTCATTAAAAGGGCTTACATTTTCCTTATTTAATCAGGTTGTTGAAAATGAGTTTCATCACATTTTGTCAACTTAGAAGATATATTTACACTCTTATGAAATGTAAACTAATCATACAGTTTAAAGTAATCAAAAAAGTACTCTTTAGCTAAGTAAAAATGATATAGAGAGACCTTGTATCACAAGTAATTAAGTCCATCAATGCAGGAAGCCCTCAGTTGTTAACCCTCAGAAAACGATAATGGTAGAATAATACTTGGTAAATGTTGAAAGTTTAGGTGCAAATCTAGTTGGTGACCTACAAGATCATTTAAACCACTCCTTTAGTACTATCTCATGTTGAAAGGAATTGTTTTGCATCCTAATGGGACAAGTTGATCTGTAATTCATACTTGTTTTTAATAGCCAGTCTCAACTCTACTGGGCTGGGCCCTAATCAATTGTAAATACTGGGCCCCAGGGACAGGGTCCCTCCTTCCTGACCCCCCCC